ACGTTTACGATGATTCCCAATAAAATGATATGTAAACGAGACTTTGACGCGTTCAAATAGAAACGGAAGAGATCGATTAGCATAATCTATTTTATTTTGATACATCCTTGATTCGGAAATTATTCATTCATTCGTAAATAAAGCGACGAGCGTTCCTACTTGGAATCTGGAACGATTTATTCGGTCAGTAGTTTCAAGTTTAATTATCGTATTATGCTACGGACAGTCCCTGAGCACTATTGTGTTCGGACAAATTACAGTGAGTTGTTAAACGTAACAGCGAAACTATTCCAAACGTACTCGTATTATATCGTGTTTATCCATAATGATTACATTCATTGTTTTATCCTTATTTCACTATTGTTTCTAACATACACATTGAAAAAAATGAAATTCCCTATTAATGATTTATACTTTTTTTTTTTTTTAGAAAAATATACTCTGTATTGCTTGACAAATGAAACAAAATTCGTATAACAGGAGATTGGAAAATAAGAAAAAAAATTTTTTATCAGTCAAATATCTTTATAAAATAAAAATACATCAACAATAATGGCTCAGTGGTCTAGCGGTATGATTCTCGCTTTGGGTGCGAGAGGTCCCGGGTTCAAGTCCCGGCTGAGCCCCGATATTTTTTTTTTTTTCTTTTTTTCCATTCATTTTATTCAACCAAACGAATTCTAAACAATATTTACATATCCCTTTCTCTTTACGCGCCTCATGAATATATTTTAATGCATTTAAAAATTGTTAAGATCGAATTTCAATGGCAGATGGGAATCCAGGGAAACTCAATCGACGTTGATCATCACACGCTCGGTTAACTTCTACCGTTGGTTCTAATTCGTCCTATAGGTAATTTCCTGAAAGGCTTCTGGTAGAATCGGCTGGACACGCTTGAGACACAGGTGCATTTAACGTGTGTATTTTACGGTTTAACGCTAAGGTCAAACACCGTACACGCGCGTAGGAGAGCTCTCACCTGCTGCGCGTAATGATCGAGTAATGACTAGGTGAAACCCTATCTTTATTGCTTTTCTGTAAAATAGAGAAAGGTTTGATGTTTCTTTATACAACCGACAACTTTTAATTTCCACAGTAATCTTGTTGTTTTTTTCACAGTTTAATATTTTAATACGACCCTCTTAATGCGTTTCTCACGAACTCATAAAATATACATACACGTATATGAATAGATAAAGAAAACTAAATACCATTTCTCTTTTGTCGGCAGTTTTGAATTAATTTTCTTCGACTAATGTATTAGTACCATATTACAATGAGATACGAAAAGGTACGACGGCGTTCTTAGAATTCCAAGCTCGGTCGATTCTGTTTGCACCGTTTTCGATGAGAATTTTCGATAATTAAAGAAACGAAGATATTACTTTCGAAGAAGAATTTCCATCAGGAAAGAATCCTTTTTTACTTGCTTTAAAAGAAAAATGCATTCCTTAAATAGTGCTTTCAGAGGCTCTTTTTCATTAGCAACTAGATCATTTAATTAATACGTTTTTCCCAAAGGAACGACGCGCAAACGTTTCGATCATTATCGTTCGCTTTCTCTCGCACGTGTTCACTACTGAGAAACGATATTCAGAAGCTTAATACGATCTATTACGTTGCTTTGAAATACCCTGAAATTTGCCGTGAGGTGAGAATTTTCGATAATTCTTTTGAAGCCAAAGGGACCTTTCCATTCGGCTTTTTTGTGGGCGGTACATCGATATTACCTACGCGTCATCGAGCAGGGAATTCGACTCATGACAGTGCTCGCCAAGAATGCGCATTTGGTGTTCGACGAAAGGAAAGGGGGGAGAGAGAGAGAGAGAGAGAGAGAGAGAGAGAGAGACGACCGGCATCTTCAAAACTAGCGATTTTTCTGAACGACGACTTTACGAGAATGTTTCACAATGGACGACGAGTGAACGACGACAGTTTGTCGCCATTGCTTCAAAATGAGTGCAAGCAAGAAAAAGAGAGAGAGGGAGAGAGAGAGAGAGAGAGAGAGAGAGAGAGAGAGAGAGAGAGAGAGAAGAAAACGGTTTAGAGCTCGTCGAGTGGCCGCGTTACCGCAAGGTCCTTCTGTCCTGTTCTTCCTTTCCTCCCGAGTATTCCCTTCAGTCTTCCCTTTCCCTTTCGCCTGCCAATAGCACTCTCTCGAGTGCCGCTGTCGCGGTAGCTTTTTTCAGTTGTGATCGAGCGCCTCTTCAGTGTGCATAAAATAAAATGAATTAGCGATCCGGAACTCTGGATGCTCGATCGGCTTCTCTCCATGGTTTTTGACAGCTCGTACCACACCCTCCCTCTTTCCCTCTCATTTTGTCCATCCTCCAGTCTTACAACTCTCTCTCTCTCTCTCTCTCTCTCTCTCTCTCTCTCTCTCTCTCTCTCTCTCTCTCTCTTTCCTCTTTCTTTTGTTGATTCAATTTAGTGGCTAGGAAACCGTTGCTACGCTTTACAATACGAGTTTCCTCGAACATCGCGCGAGTGGTTCAATCTCATTAAAGCCACTCTAGAAGAGCAACAACAACAAAACGGTGACAGCTCTGTAAACCACAATCGTTTCTTTTGTCAAACCTAGTGTTTCCGTCCTAACATTTAGTCGAGTGGAAACCGTTTCAGCTTCTTCTTACAAATAGTGTTGTCGAAAGTATTGTCGAAAAGCAAAGTTCGCTTTTTTATTTTCAATCATTTACATTTATAATACGACAAAAGGTATAAACGACACGAGACGAATGGATTATCTTAAGGATTTAATTAATCAACGTAAATCTTAATGAATACGAATCGACTTTAATTATCTTCTCTTTATTCATCGAAACACTGTTATTTTCTTTTTCTCCAGAGATTACATAAAAAGAGCGCATACGAGAGAGAGAGAAAGAGAGAGAGAGAGAAAAATAAAAACAGGTAATCCTTGTGAGTGCACAAAAATAATGACTGAGAAAACTGAAATAATAGAGTGCATGGATGTGATAAAAAGTAAAACTAAAAAATAAAAAGAAGAAAAAAATAGAAAAAGGACAATGAAATAGAGTTTATAAATTATCCTTTCGTTGTAGAAACACGATGGATTTTCCTTTAAAACGATCGAGCGAAAATGATAGCTCTTTGACGTCACTAGAAAGATTATTTTAAAGGCGGATGCCTGAAATTAGTAACAAATTCTAAAAGGTTGATGTACGACAAAGAAAGAGGGAGAGGCAGAGAGAGAGAGAGAGAGAGAGAGAGAGAGAGAGAGAGAGAGATAAGAGTAATAAGAAAACGGTCTTAGGCGAAGGTAATTTTTCTCGCACGATATCCATGTATCTCTAACTTATCTTGAACGAGACGAAAGACGACACGAAGAGATTTTGATCCCAAACGCGACAGGCACGCAAAGTGGCGGAAAATTGAATTGCACACGATTCATGGCAAAAAAAAAAGAAGAGAAAGAAAAAGGAATAGAGAAGATAAAAGTTCATTTAATTATAATTTATAATTGCAATTATATAATAGAACATAAAAGAGTATTAGCTCGAGGTCCAGTAAAAAAAAAAAAAAAAAAAAAAAAGAGAAAAACATTAATGAACGCAATCGAAATTAGCGCGATCATTTTTAAAGTTGATCGATAATTGATTCATGAAAAAGGCAAGATTGATTCTCAACGTCACTTTAAAATATCCCGTTAAAATTGGTGTGCTAAGTATTATATAAAGATTCTCGAGGAAAAAGCTTATCGACCGTTCAATGCAAACGTTCAATGAAATCCTCTATTGTTCTTTGCTCAATGAACCATAACATAATTGGCATCGATAATTCGACATCAAGCGCATTAAGCGTATATGATTACGGTCCGGATAGTAAATCGAGATACGATTTCGCGTGAACATTAAACAAAGCGATACGCTTCATTAGAAAGCCATAAAACTCTGAATGCATTTCCTCCGGAATAGTATGAAAATGATATTGAATGCGTCAATGAATATCGATAGAAAGAGAAATTGTTTCTCGACGAGGTTGATTTGATTCACCAATGATATTAATACATACTTTATCATGTCCATAATGATAATGCTCGAATAATTAATATTTACAAAATATATTATATCTTTCGAGATTGCCTGATTCTTTCTCGAAATAGTCCTGAGTAAAATGACAGATTTCCTTTTTTTTTCTCCTCGATCAGAACTTTTCGACGAGTTGACACAATCGAATGGATCCATCCCTTCCCGAAGAAACGAACAAACCGAGAAAGGAAGACTGCGACGAGAGACTTTGAGAATAGGCCTCGGTACGTCTGGATGGCACGCAGGAAAAAAGGTAGCTACCTTTTGAAACGCTGATCTCCCGTTGAGCCCACGAAGGCGACGCAAGTGTTCTATTGTCGAAAGGCGCGAATACCAGAAGCAGTCGTTTTTCGCATTGTCACCTTGGCTCTTTAACACCATTAACTATACGTTTTACCTTAAATTCAAGCCAAAGTGGAAGGCCTCTCGACAAATTTTTTTTAGATTTACGGTAACATCATGCCGACAATATGTTCGAGGACCGCAACGAAAACGTACCACAAGATGCTTTATATTTTATTTCTTTGAGACCCTCCCACTTATAGAATTAATTTTTCCTTTTTCATCGGATTTCTCGTCGTAATACCTCGTTTATTTCTACGCCCTCAAAAGGATATATTTTAAATGGTCGTAAAAGAAGAACTAAATGACGTTCGATGTTGATATTATTTCACTCTTTAATTTCATAGCTCTGTTTTCGTTTCATTTCCATTAGTAGGAAGCTTATTGCGCCTTGATCGTTTTATCCGTTATAATCCGTCTTTCTCGTCGGATAAAAGCTTTTATAAATCTTCTTAACTTATTCTCGACCTCTCGACATTATTTTGCAAAGAGCGATCACTTTTTGAAATTTTTATATCGCAATAACAAAGAACTTGTACTAATGTAACTTGGGCTAATTAACATGTCCATGAGATTAAAAAGATAGGAATTCATAAGAGAGGCATATAAAATGGATGATTTTTCTTTTTTATTTCGTATGAAATTCGTATGAAAAATATACGATCTCTTATCTCTCACGTAAATGGTACAAAAATATATCGACAATATTTACAAACCGCGACTATATAAATACATATGTACATAATATAGGCGTGCAGAATTCATCGTTCCGTATCGATTTCGATTGTTCGTTTATCGATATTTTAATTTATCGATTCTTTGGAAACATTTTTGAAGACTAGCAAACGTTTTTTCGCTTTTTTTTAAGAATTAACAATTCTGTCCACGGTATGTTTGGTGCGAGACAAGTTGTCAAATATCGGTCTAGAGATTGAGTCTCTGTGCTGCGTACTCTGATGCATGGTCGGTGTTAGGTCCATTTTTCTCCTCTTATCCATCCTGTCATATTCATCCTCGGTATTTCTTTTGCAGCCAACGGACGAATGGTGTTCGCTCATCTCCTCTTTCGTTCGCTCGTGAAACGACTCGATCCTTTGAAAATTCAATTTTTCATCGGGTTCGCGAGGAAATGGCGAGCCTTCCGTTTGTCTCGAAAGCAAAGATATTTCGAAGCGTTCGTTTTTTCGAATTGGCGATTCATGCTCACGACGAACGACCAGTTCGATCGATCCACTCGAATCTTCTCGTGTCTGCGAGATTGTCGTGGTTATATTCGTGGTATCAAAGGATTTTCCATCCTGTTCTTCTTCCTGATCGCACCGTCGATTCTGCAAACCGTCCGCACAACCATCTTTCTTTTTACCGCATGTACGTAAGCAGCAACACTTTTGATTCTGTCCCGACGGCAGATCCTCTTTCTTGTATTTGACTCTTCGATTTTGAAACCAGATCTTTACTTGCTTCTCGGAAAGCCTTAGGTTCGTTGCTATCTCAATACGACGCAAACGGGAGAGATACATATTCGAAGCGAACTCTCGTTCGAGTTCCAACAATTGTGTGCTCGTAAATGCCGTTCTAATGCGCTTCGAGCTATTAGAAATGGAGTTTGGTGATTTCGGTGGTGGTGTTGGAGTGCTGTTACGCGACGGTGACTCGTTAGACGCCGAGACATCTGTAATTTGCAGGAGTAACACAAGCGAGTTAGCTAGCGGTAGATTTTGATCTTTGATCGGTCAGACTGCGGTTGTACAGGTAATAGCATTTAATCTAAGGGAGGTTTAGAAACGTACCTGAGAGTCTGCTGGTCGAAGCGTTTAGAGGAGAAGGTGGGCTTTGTCCAGTTATAGGTAAAGACACGTTTGTCGACGGACTTATAGGTACTGGTGGCACAGGCATCACCGGTGTTCTAGGAACAGGTCTAATTGGCTGATAACCTAATCCCAGATTGAAGAAATTGAACATGTAATTTGGCAATTGATTCCCGTAATATGGCAACGGATAGGACGGCGGTGAGTTGTTGCCGATGAGAGAATCCACGAGGAAACTTCGAGACATCTCGTTGAAAAAAGGAAAATCCTAGAAAAGTTCACTGTCGAATCTTATTACGTGATGATCTAATTCACGAGATCGTTCCTTGATTCTGGCACACTATTTTTTCTTTTTATTTTTCCAACTTTTCGTTGACTTTCCCTGACTTGGCGATATACCGATAAGTTCGTAACACTTAGCCTGAAAAATTTGTCTGGCTGGTAAACGGTACGACGGTGCATAGAGTTCTGCATCTCGGACACCCCTGCCAGAGCATATATACCGATTGCTAACTCCACCCAGGGGTTGGTTCTCTCGAGGGGCCTTCTTTCTATCGGGCCCCGCCCTTTTCACGAGGGTGCCCCCTTTTAACTTCACCCTAACGAAGTACGCCCGAACTATCATGCCGAACATCGTCCCCCAGGGACGACAATGAGTAGGGTATTTTCTTGTTCTCTTTTTCTCTCTCTCTCTCTCTCTCTCTCTCCCTCTTTCCCTCCCTTCCTTTTTCCCTTACTCTTCTTTCCTTAGCCGCACCAATTTGACGGGTGGTAGCTAATATTACTCGAAACTTTATATGGCATCGGAGTGCATCGTTCTATTATTGTTAACCTCTGCCCGTACAACGGATTATTACTCTGGTATATCTTCGTATGGATTCAAATTATGAGAAGGATACGCGAAAACCTTCTATAATCCTTTCGAAGGAAACCTCATCTCCGGTTAATGTCGCTCCATTTATGCGTTCCGTCGGAGCTCTCCGTTCTCTGTCATTACTATCAATTTCACAGTTAAATTATTCTATTCGAAAGAATTCTTTTCATCGTCGCATTTCATAAGGAAAACGAGAGAAAGAGACTTTTCCTGAACGGAAGAGTAAAAGACTAACTAGTCCTTTCCTTTTTCCCATATCAAGTTTTATAAGCACGAGAACGCGTTAAGTATCAGCACGAAGTAATCTTAATCCAAATGATCGAGATAAGCCAATGGAAGGATTACTCAAAGATATTGAGTACTGTAATATTTGATTCGTTTGTTAAAAGAGAGGGTCATTAATGTGACTACTATGATCTGATCTCAAAGTACATAGGCAATTCATTAGAAATCTTTTATTTTGAATAAGAAGAGACGATAGGATGGATCTACATGATAGTTGTCCTTATCCTTTGCTTATACTCACATATACATACATACGCGTAGTCACGATAGGCGATAGTCATATACTAGATGTCAACCGATACATACGTGTGCATATACATATACATACGTACATATATATATATATATATATATATATATATATATATATATATATATATACACACACGTATGTACGTTTCTCAAAAGAGATTCAATCACGCGAGAAATCTGACGTCGTTGCTCCACGAAGAGAATCGATATTCACGAGAGATCCAAATCAACTCTCTGGAATCTTCAAGGAACTTCCGTACTCCTTTCAAAGATTTCCATCTACGAAGAATATATATGTAGGTATGTTAGATAAGGTAAGGTAAGGTAAGATAAGGTATAGTAAGGTAAGGTCATGAGTATGTACGTCGTTTATGAGATTTCGTAGCTCTGATTTAACCGCAACGGCAACCGAAGGATCCGGGTTTGGGGCAAGTCAATTTAACGTATACGAGTTCACTATTTTTCTTTTTTTATCTTTTCATGATTAATTTGAATTTCCTTAATGTCCTTCTAAATTAATTTAATTCCGTTGAATTCTCGCGAAAGAGATGAAAAGAAAAAAGAAAACTTTCGAAATATCGTTCGATCGTCAGTCTCCTTTTTATCTTCTTTTCTTTTCTCTCAGTCAATTTTCAACAAAGCGTGTTTTTGATCCTAGTTAAAGGAAACGTTCGCTCGTTGCAATTTTCTTGAGTTGAAACCAGTGACGTGGTCCACATGGCTTAGACCACAAATACGTATACATACATGTGTGTGTGTGTGTGTGTGTGTGTATATATATATATATATATAGGTATACGGTCGCGTTTTCGACCAAATGTAATTTTCATTTGCGCTAAAAGCAACTCGATATACTTGACAGCTAGCCAATTTAAGCGAACCGCGCGCGGTATAACGAAGTATATGGCGGAGCGAAAATGAAGTTATGGATATCTTATAGGTACGTACGTGCGAGTATCTAGAATGTCTTTGACAATTTGCACGGTAATTAACGTGTCACGAATAGTTTCTAATAGCTTTGCGTGAAGTATCATAGAATACGTGAGTACGGTACTAATTGTAAGTGTAGCCGATTGTTTGCTTGCTTACTAGCATGTTAATTGAGTAATTGTTGTTGTTTAGTTTATCTACAATTGTACTCTATTAATAAATCAGACAATACCTTTCTTGCATTTAGATTCGTTTCGTTTCTAAAAATATTTTTATCGTAATTTTTAAGAAATGTCGTGTCTTTTTTTTCTTAAAAGAAAAATCAACTCGCACTACAATCTCTTCCTTTATGCTTATGAATTTATGGGATGTATAAAAGGAGCGATGAAAAGCGAAGAGAGAAAACACAGCCATGATTCGAAACCCCTAATAACACGACTAATCCCATTACAATGTTACCAAAGCATACGGAAGGGCCGTACTAAAGGCGGAGGACCCTTCTTCCTTCGACTCGTATTAAAAATCACGCTTATGTTATCTTACCAGCGACTCGTGAATAATACAATCTCTCTCTTTTTCTCCTTCCGTGCATATGTCCGGCATACTCACGAAAAAGAGGGTTCATGATCGAGAACCCTTCATCGAGAGAAAAAAGAGAGGGGGTTCGTGGCAATATAGGACCACCCTACTTTCCGGCAAATACAAGCTCCCCATACTGTATCGTACTCTCTTTCTCGTATCTCACGTCATTACTAGCGAAGGATATTTTAATTTCGATCGGTACCCTCGGTTGAGTATTCTCCCATTGGTCGGTTCTCTCCTTCGAGGCGTGGCTATTATTCGATGAAGGGACAAACAAAACTCTACGATTTCCATTTTCTTATACCATCATATTTCTATGTTATTACGTTATCGAGTTTTTCAATGTTATATTTTCATTTCATTAAGGGCACTTGGCTTCTTTACGTCTCACCATTTATTATCATTCTTCTTTGAATAATGTCATACGAACGTCGAACGAGATTGTTTTTCTTTCTTAATTTTTTTCCTTTCTCGAAAAGACAGACTTTTTGTTTGTCGAAATAAATTATACGTCGAATCGTACCAAAGTCAATGTCATTGTGCGTAATATATATATTTCTTCGGGGTGTTTCAGCAACAAATATAAAATGTATTTGTTTGCTAGCAAGTTTTCCGTCTGTGAATGAAAAAGAAACGATAAAGAAAGAAGCTGTTTACATATTCCACAGCGTTTACATATAACTTTTCATGTGTACATGCACAAGACAGACAGAGAAAGAGAGAGATAGAGAGATAGAAAGAGGTTGGAACGCATATTACACAAGATGATTACGTTGACGTGAGGTGTCAATGACATGAAAGACGGAGTTAGAAAGAGAAAAGTTTACGACGCATAAACAAAAATAACCACAGGGCTTCAAGACTGGTTAAATATTTGTCAATACATAGGAGCTTCGCTGCGAAAGTCAAAAGTTTAAACAAACTTCAACGAAGATATGAAGCAATGAAGAAAAAGAAGTAGAAAACTCCTCGAGAGAATTCGAAAGGTACATATGTATGTAAGTTTAATATTTCGCTTTGATTATTTATTCAAAGGTAATACGAAAAATTGAAAGACTTTATTGAAAGTTTTATAAAATTTTTAATCTTGCCGGTATCATTTATCCGAGCAGAGAGAAAATTTCACTTCAGTGTATGAAATAAAATATGAGTGATTTCCAAGTAATTTGAATATTTAATGAATGGTTATCAAGGGATTTTAGATTGTTGTTAAAAGGATCGAGGATTAATGAAAAACAAATCCGTCTTAATGGATAAATCAATTTTATTTGTTAAAGGAATTCGAAGAAGGAAAAAGGAAAGAAGACAGGAAGGAAGAAAGGAAATAAAGGAAGGAAAGTATGTATCGAGGAAAGGATAAGAGAACGATCGAATTTGATACAATAAATGTCTTTCTCCGTGTTTCTTTGAGTAACTATCGAAGGGTTCTATCGAGGACCTCGTCGAAGACGCCACTTTCAATACTTTTGGCTCGAGTAGCCCGTGGTAATGCCGAGTATATCGGATAGTATATCCTCCACGCCTAGGTAAAAGGAAACGCATCGTCCCGAGGACGATTCTTCGACAGTATCGAATAAGATATCGAAGAAAATTCCTCAGGGGCTCTCGTAAAAAGGATTCGTGTGTACACACCGTGATCGACGTCTTACGACAAACTTTTCTTATTCTTTTTTCTTTTCCTCTCGAATCCATCCTTGGTTGTTTTTCATATTCTTCGAGTCTATCCTTCTTTCTCTCTTTTGTCGCAATACTCCCTGCGCATGATTCCGTTCCGTTCGTCGAAAGGACGCATCTCAGGGAAGTACCAAAAAATCGGTACGGTTCATTTCACCCAACGAAGAAGTACATTCATCGAAGAGAATGCACTCACATAAAGGAGTATCCCGATCGAGACTCGCGACCCACGCCAATCGGTCATTCATAAAAGGAAAACTTTGTCGAGAAAAAAGGAAAAGAAAGGAAAAGAAAAGAACGACGGTGGTTGGCTACGACAGTGGCTAAGGGAATAGCAATCATGGGAATAGCAAATACGATTTCAGATCGATCCTTTTCGTATCACTTCGAGCGAATAATTTGAACGGCAACATCTCGAAAACAGAGATAATCGCGAAAATTCTTTATCCTTGCCTCCTTTAGATAGCTGTATACATATGTATATTACCGATCGTCCATACGAATACACGTTCATTTTCTTATACCTAGACTCTTTATATATATATATATATCTGGATGAATATCTCTAACACAACGATCGATCACAACTCCGTATTTCCTCACCCAACATCCTTTCCTATACACATGGTTCAATCCTTTCAATTCGAACGACGAACGAATCTTCGATTTTCTTCTCTTCCTTTCTTTTTTCCTACGACCAACATCTATCTTTCTCTAAGCTCCTTCGTCATCCCTTGTGATACGTATTTCTATTTATTCTAAAAAAGCGTTTAATATCACATGTAAAGACTTACAATTACTTATGGATTTCTCATTACGCAGAATTATAAGCGAACGAAGAATCTGGCGAATTAACAGAAATAAAAATAATGAAAAAAAAAAAAGAAAAAAATATTGAAACAACTCGATGTTGTAAAACGAATCGGCTCCCTCGAACAACATGAAATTCACGGATTAGTTAGGTTCGAATCTAGTTCGCATCGATGGCCCTTTGTTGTTGAAGTATTGTTTCGCACGGTATTGTCAGGATCAACTTAGCGTGTATCATTCGATAATTTCAGTGAGTTACGCACACGTTGGCCCGTGCGCTAAAGCGTACCATTCGCTTTTAGCTCTCTGGCCAATCCTCTCTCTCTCTCTCTCTCTCTCTCTCTCTCTCTATTTGACCGACCTTCATCATTCACTTTCCTTTCGCGGTTCGTTTCTCCATTCCTCCTTTCATACTTCACTCGTTACTTTCATTCATACTTTCCTTGATTCTCGGCCTTAGTATTTCTGTTTTGACACGCGCTATGGATACCTCTCTTGGTAATGGTTGCAGTCATGGAGAGGAAAAGACGGATACAGCACGGTTTGTTGGTTACGATGAATTGAAAACGATCTCTTTTCCCTCTCTCTTTCTGTAGCTCCCTCTTTCCCTTCCTCCCTCACTCTTTCTCTCTCTTTTTCCCTTTCGCCCTACTCAGCTTCTGGTCCTCCTCGTACACTTTACTACGCGAGCTTTGAACACTCGTGAGAGTATCATGAAAGGAGCAACTACCGGCTGACGAAACGTTCGAAGAGTCGGCCGATCGTGAATGAAAGATCGGCATAAGCGCATTTACCTTTATATAGGAATAATGGTTTGGACGTGGATTACGATCAGTCGAAAATGTAGAACTTAAAAAAATTCCGCGTGGGAGTTCTACGAGCAGCAATATCGGCCCATGACCATCTATGGATCATTAATCGCTTCTGTTACCAGTTACCTTTCTTACCTTTTCTCAATTTTATTCTCTTTCTTATTTCCTTTCTTATTCTCTTTCCCCAGATTAGTTTTCAACGTATAATTCCGACAAAATGCGGAATAGATACTTGATGCTTTTTTTTTTTCAAACGATAAATGTCAAGAAATGAAGAAAGAAGTGGCAAGAGAAGCGGAAGGAAGATATAAGAAAACGAAAATAAGAAGGGCAGACTCGCATTTTCTTAAATCGCTGAAAGCGGATTATTCTGTAAAGTTCGCAATTTTTGTAACATTTTATATATCTGCCAGTAAAAGGTGAATTACGATCAACAGAAGGACTTAAGCGGAAATAAAAAGAATATAATTTATTATGCTGAAATTCCGAGAGATGATGGTTATGAAACAATAAAGATCGTAGATATTTATCATTTCGTTGCAATTTTAAAGTTGAAACCATATATAAATTTTATCGCGGCTCCATAAAAAATGAATTACTCGATTCAGCGTTTATATATATATATATATATATATATATATATATATATATATGTATATAGGTATATAAAAGTAAAACGTTTCGTCATTAAAGAAGTTATCAATTAAATCCTTAATCACCTGATTTAACTGTCGAGCGATATCTTTAATCACGCGTTGCAGTAAACTAGCTTAAACTTTGTCTTGTTCGTTCATACAGGCGCGCGAAAAAAAATGAATGTAGAATGACGAAGCAGTGTGTTGGGTCTTTTCTATGCGTTTGAAATTTCAACGGGTCCTTGGTTGGTACGCGTTAGAAATTCATCACGGTCCATGGGAAAGGGGTGCCAAAGACTACCTCTATTACCTTCGTTATCCATCGTTATTTTTCGTTTTATACCGACTAAGGACCGTCAATATGATATCGAATAACTATTTCACAAAGTCATTCAATCCTTGTAAGATCTCTGTTGATCTTATAAAAAAGAAAAAAAAAAAAAAAAAAAAGAAGAGCCAGTAAAATTTCGCGTACCGTAGAAGCGCATCAATCTTCTGGAAGCTCTATCGAATTTCATGAACTTCGTGAACGTTTGCGTCTGAAACCTAACGATGACGTTAGACCGGTACTTCCTCGTTAATACCATTGTAGAGCTATTCTAGAAAGGTTTTTACCGTCGGACGCAATACAGAGAGAATCTCTCCGATGGACAATGAACGAAAATTATAAGGCAACTTGGTTCGTCCAAACTTCCCTTCGACTTCCGAAGACCACGTGCCAACGAATAATTCCATACGCGTGCCACGATAATAACCAACGAAAGACGCATCTCTCGATTAAGAATACGTCGTCTAGTTTGTATTGTGCTACGTGAAAATTGCATTATCCCAACGTGGGCGAAGCCTCGGGTTAATTTTCTTTTCATCCGTCCTAACTTTCTCTATGAAAGAGAAAACGAGTAAACTCAATTTGTTCATTGGGAGATGTTAAAAAAAAATATTTAAATGAATTTTTCAATTTTCAATCGAACGTAAAAAAATGAGAAGAGGAAGAAGCAGATATTTTTAAAATGATCGAAAACGATTGTAGATTCTTTGACCAGGTGTGGCTTAGCGTTGTTATCAAAAGACATGAGTCTATAAAAGCTCGTAAACAGGACCGAAAATGTAGCCGCGTGCAACCGAAAGGAATAAAATATCGCTTTTTGTGGCAATTTTCCGGCAATTTTCCAAGTGACTGAAATCCAGGTGTCGTTTTGTGACAGTAAGAAATAGAGAGAGAGAGGGAGAGAGAGATTTTCTCTCTCTCTCTCTCTCTCTCTCTCTCTCTTTTTCACATTCTCCCCGTCGGCAAAGCGTTCCGTGTTAGTTAGGTAATAGCCCGACACCGCCCAAAACTCGACAAGAGGCTCTCGTGGTTCCTAACAAAAACAGGTACTGCTAATGCGATGGCGACGAACGTACGACGCATTCCCTTTGAATAGTCAATAGTTTGTAATCGCATTGATCGAATAATAGACGAGAACCTTTTCTCGGCGATCGATCGATCCGCCGTTTATTCGAATCCAGTCATTTTCTACGTGAGATTTTCGATATATAAACCACGAATGATTTATCGATGGTTCGAACCAATTTCCAACATTATACGAACGTCCCACGCAATAAATCGTTTCGCTCGTTAAATGCACAGTGAGTATCTAATCTGCTTATTTATTATATACGTATCTCTTGATATCGTATCTCTTCGAAATATTATTAAAATTGACTCATTGGAAAACGAAAGAAAGAACGGAAATTTTCATCAAAAAAATTATTCGATAATAATAAGGACAGGGAACTTAGTAATAGACACGAAAATAAAGCGGATAAGGACGACAAGTTAAGTCGCTTGGCCGATTTATACGGTTCGTGGAACAAAAATAGAAATTTCATTTCGCCCCGATTGTTTCGTGATAAGGAAATCACAATGGAATTTGCTCGGTAAAACTTCCAATTGAATACAACGTGAAATATTTTACCTATCATTGTCTTTCATTATCGATTAGAGTAGCAGCTTTCTACTTAAGTTATTTGTTATAGGCGAAGTTTATTATTAAGTATTAACCAGTAAGGTGGTATCTTGTCTATGACGTAACGTGGTCAATTAATGCGTACACCGATCGTTAATATGTTTCTTTTGCGTAAAAAGGTTATATTATAAAAGGTCCGTCGATCCGTTTTTATTTATGGCACAATGTTAAAACATACGCTTCTTTCTCCGATCCAAGGAAGAACGTGACGTCTGAGATAAACTTTGAAGATCGTGAACTTGTTACGTTGATTTATGAGCAGAAGTATCCGTCTATGGATTATCTAAAAAAAGAGAGAAAAAAGAAATATAAGAAAAAGAAGAGTGTCCTTGCATCCGTTGTAAAGAAGAAATATCGCGAAGTATGGATATCGTAATGAGAAAAATTTATGTTATCGTTGTTGTGTAATATATCCGGATGAAAAGGAAATTAGGATGAGTAGATTTAAAAGCAATTTTAAAAGATTAGAATGAAATCGAATAGAAACGGTAAGAAAAAAAAAAAAAAAAGAAGATATACCTTTCCATGTCCTTTTATCGATTTCTTACGATCGACCTTTTGTTTTTTTTTTTTCACGAAAGCCTAAGTTTCATTGTCATATATACAAAGTATAAACACAGAAATCTGATTTTCTTCGAGAAATAAGTTCGATAGGTTCTCGGAAAATTTTGCCTTTTTTTATCGATCGACGAACGTAGCCGCTCCTTTTTGGCATTATCATCGATACCAGTGAATACCAGTGAAAGGAAGTTCTATTTGGTTTTGACGAAGAGGCCTCGGAACTAGCTAAACTCTAAAGGCTACTTAACTTTTCTCCCTTTCAACTAGCGAATGCCTTTAACGCGTCTCGAATCGCTCGCAACGTTGACAATATTCGAGCCCCCTTTATTAACGCAAACTCGAATGACAGTGGAACACCATTCCTGTGAAGCATCTCGATATTGTGCTCGAGTGGAGTCGAGTATCGCGCAAAACTCATCTTTAGTCACGGTGCGTTAGTTACGCGATGCTTACTTCGCGATAAATTGTCCTGACTGAAAAGCCCGTACGACATGCTCTTTCGTCTCCCATGCTTCCCATCACCGTTCACTTTATCCATGGGGATAAAATTTCCGTTATTTGTTTGTTGTTTGTTGTTTATCATTTCTTTACGAGCCCTCCTTCTATCCCTTCGATCTACTTTAATTCATTCCTTCCTTTTATACGCATTCATTTGTTTGTGCATTACGGGCTAAGATAATGCAGTTATTCGATCTAAGAGAATATATTATCGACGCCGCAGTATATAGCTTAGGTATATGGCTTAGGGATCCTGTGCTTCTCCAATAATTAATTTTCTATCGATCACACTTCCGCTCTTACAATTAGTAAGATAATGGAAGTACAACGACCGATAGTAAACAAGAAAATCAAATTTTTCATTAGAAATTCCATTTAAAGTTTAATTGTAATCATTTTAACCGTAGATCGTTAATCTAGAAATTTAAGTGACCTGATCAATTCGCCCTAGAAATCTTATATAAAATTTTATACGAATTTGTAATTAATTACATTATTCATCAATAAATACTCTGTAAACGATGTGTGCGTCTTATGAAAAACTTTTATATTGTTAAATTAAACTCAAATATTAAATTTAATCAGGCTTACTTACACGACGTAGTCGTCCAACGCAACGTCTTGTTCGACGAAAGGTTAATGATGTTCTGGTAGAGATCAATGATAAACAAAATAATATACGAGAGAACGAGAAGACGAAGGAAGGATATCTCGATAACAAATAATAATAATAGACGACGAGACAACCTCCAGGTGACACATCTTCGTCCATATGTACATACGGATAGGCGAATGTATTATTATTACGATTAGTCTTCTGCCGAACGTTCTTCCCAACGGACGCGATCATCGTCATAAGGTATACCTTGTTTGCTCAGGTCCCGTAGTTTTCTTTCGATTGTACATGAAGCGGGCTATAATCCGTCGATATATGAGACTCATTTGTAATCTCTCTAGTAAAATATGCGACATAATTCAGAATTATAACGTTTGCGTTCATATGCCGCTGCATTTTCGTTCGTTTATTCCTCGACTCGTTTTGAACACGCATCGTAAAGGAACTACGAGTTACGTTTCCACGCTTCGAAATTAACTTGATTTGATCGATTCGTATTTCATTTTCAATATATATACATATATGTAGATATATAGATATACTCTTATACTGTCAGTAATGGAATACTGGCTCGGAATATGGAATATTCTGTATCTATTGCACAAAGTAAACGAAACCTACGTCTATCGCGTTTCAAATTTTCTCCTTCTCTTTTACTCGTATGTAAAAATTCTATCATGGTTTAGAATTTATTTGCTAAAAGTTCTCTTTTCATCAAAGATTAAGTAAGAAATAATTTGACATTAATTTTTCATCAATGTAAATCGATTTTCGATGAAATTCCAATGATAAAAGAAATAAGGAAAAGAAAAAAAAAAAAAAAATAATCGGATTTGCGTTCGATGTCCTTTTAGCATGTCGCAAAGGTTTGTGCTGTAGCTTCGAAATCTAAAAGAAAGTTGGTGGGATATTTTTTTAAATCAATTATCGTCTTATTCCTGCGAAATTATTAGCAATTTCTGTGCCTGTCGGATTAGACGGACGAGAGGATTTTCCAAAAAAGCGCAAAAATCTGTGTCCGTCGGAGGTATCGGTATAAGCGGCTTAGAAGCGCGTGCCCGTGTCAGCTGCCGTATCGATCTATCGAAAACCCATCTCACTGCATCGTATAGAGATTAATCCCATAAGTAGGAAAATTATCGAGAGGGGTTGGTTTCCTGAAAAGCGGGATGGAAGGCGTAATGCGGTAAGCGGGTAAGATACAACGAACCGATCTCTCCCTTTTTTTATTTTTTTGCAAAATAAACGAAACCTACGCATATTCCTAGCGCGTTCCAAGCATTCCCATCTTTTTTCATGTACATAAAAATCCTATACCGTTTCTTTCGAATTTCTTTATCAACAGCAGAGATCAACGAAAAACGAACATTTCTGTATGGGATACAAAATATACACAATCGATATAGTTTACGATAATTTCAATTAATATTTATAATAATAATTATTTATTTCGATGGTAGTTTTTATTCATTTTAATTAAATTAAAACGCAGCGTAAATTTTTTAATCTTTGATATGCCAATTACTTTTAAATGAAATTACTCGTGGATCCTCATTGAAATTAATTTCACATATGGTTTCAAGTTAATTCATCTAATGATTTGGACGTGGATACAAACAGATCGTTTAGTTTGTTATATTAAACTTTACATTATGTCGAAAACAAAAGGAACTTTTTTACTGTCTCTGTTTTCAGTGTATTTATTATATGTACATTGTCCTAAATATAGGTATACGTATATAAAAGTATGACTTTTGCTAAGACGATTGTAATTTTGAAATGGATTAAAACAATTTTGGATCAAGACTTAAAAGTCGCTCGGTATTCAGGGTATCCAACTTCTGAAATTCCGCGGGCATACTTTCTCGATAACTCTTTATAGAATCTTGTAATTTTGTAATAGTTCTTTTCATGGCTTCGTTTGATGCTTTCAGATACTCGAACGCTGATGAATCAATTGGATTTTTATTTTTATTCATTGTTATATTAGTAAATAGAAAATTGTGAATTCTTACCTTCTTTTTTCTTTAATTCTTCTCTCTCAATAGATTCCATCAAACGATCAATGTATTCCAACAACGCCATCCGACGTCTCGATACCTTTTTGCTCGCCGCTTCTTGCTCATACAATTTTTCACAATTTCTTATATATGCATCCAGCCGTCGTACACCCGAGTTTAATTCTCCGACTGTACATAAACGTTTTTTGGAAGTGTACTTGTGCATAAACCGTTTTAATCAATCCATGAAAGTTTATAGAAAAGTCTTGTGATTGGAATTTCTATCGATAGTCGATTATTCGACACGACGATTGATCGATAAATTAAGAAATAAAATCGTATCGAAAGAGTTTCGATTTTATTTGAAATAAATTCAATTAATATCATATATCTGAAAAGACATGAAAATTGATAGGCTTTTTTTTTTTTTTTTTTTTTAAGTAAACCGTATCTCAATCGATAAGATTATCCCGAGAAGATCATTGTAATGTTATATAAAAAATACAATTTATTTTTTATACTGTAGCAGGATCGACGTAGCAAAATATATAGTTTTTATATATTTTAAGGCTTGCGTTTCTAATAACACGTCTTTCTTGTTCTTTTTCTTTTCATTCTGATATAAAAATTTAATGCAACGAATACATTATAAATGGAATGTAGCATCGTTAATCATGATGCCTTGTAACCCTTTTTCCATACTGTATCTTTGAGATAAGCAGCTGTAGCAGGACTATTGAGTATAACTTCAACGATTTCCTTAAATCCTAATTGGCTTGCTAACATATATTTACATTCGACGTCTTCCAATTCGGATATTAACGTTTTCATATTATTTTTCATGCCAGAGGTAAGACTTCTTTCAGATCTATATCTAAAATGAAAAATTAATAAAATTAGTTAAAAAATGTTTAGTGCGACAAATGATAGTAAGAAATGTTATAATCGTATAAACGTACCTACGCGCGCAATCTTCAACTACATTAGATGAGAGCTTTATTACCGTAGCAAAGTCTTTCAGGTACTTTGTCTCTCCGTTAAGAATATAATGATTATAAATAATATTTGCCCAATCTGGATGATGATTATAAGCACCGGTAACTATAAGAGCTTGTTGAAAATTTAATGTCTCGCAGAGAATTTTATCGATTTGATCGCTTTTTAAATTTAATATACATATTGTATATTGATTCGACGTTGTGCCAAGTAATGCGATTTGCAGTGCAGCAAGTTGCGCTTGTTGACAACATTTGTTTGCAAAATGTAATTTATTGTCCTACGTTATAGAAAAACGCAAGAAGAATATTTGTACGATTTAAAAAAAAAAAAAAAAAAAAAACCTGTCTTCTTACCTGTAAGTAATATTGAGCTGCGTGGGTAAAGTTCATTACAATTATTTCCAATTTTTGTTGTATACTTTCATTTTTAATTAATTTCAATTCGGTTTGAGAAGAGTTCGTTGCTCTTCCATGTTCTCTAGTCAAATCGAACATAAGCTCCTTCGTTGCTTCCTTCGCTTCATTTTCCCACATTAAAGCGATTTCGTAATAAAGACGAAAATGTAATGCTACTAATGTAAAAAGTTCTTTGTTTTCTGGACAATTACGTTTTAAAAATTCTAGTAATGCTGTTTTTAGACCGGGTACCTGTTTCGTTAAAAATATTATAACAAGGAATAAAATATAATAATATAATTATGCAACGTATACCTTGTGCAACCCTTTCCCAAGTAAAAACTCAAATTGATCATTTTCTTTTAATATTTGAAAAATATAATTCATTTCCGTGAAGCGACCAACTCCTGTAACGAGACGGACCTGTGAAAAAATGATATTAGGATTTTATGATTTCTCGTTTTTTTTCTTTTTTTTTTTTTTTTTTTTAAGCGATCTTCGAAGTAACAAAATTAAGACAAACGATTTACCAATAATGTCCAATATTTGCGATATTGCAAAGTATTTGCAATGTTCTGACATTTTCGTAATATAGATGCTATTCCTTCCATATTACAACAAGCAGTAAAACAATCGTGAGACCTGATTAACAATTCTACTATTGTCTTTAAAGTTGAAACTGAAATATAATGTTTAAGTCAACCACAAGGAATTAGTTTATGAAAGATATTACTATACATCTACAGAGTAGTATGTAGACACAAGTTTTGGACAAAAATAAATATCTTATAATCAGAAACAATTGTAAAATATTGATTATATTGATTCTGATAATATTATCGAAATTTATTGTCCCATTTTTTTTTTACTTTAACTTCTTTTCATTTAGAAGTTAAAAAAAAAAAAAAAAAAAAAAAAACGATTGGACCAAAAATTGTGAATGGCATTATATATATATATATATATTACCATCTCTCTTTTCCCCTTGAGAATAGCCCATTAGCTTGTGCGCTGTTTCTAAGAGATTTAATCCTAAGATGGAAATATCACTACACAATTCCATTATTAAATGAAAGCTTGCATCTAAAGGACATCCCCACATAATTATTGAATCATCTTGTTTATCTAAAAAAAATTAATTTTCTTTTTCTTCTTTTTTTTTTTTTTTTCTAATGTAACATAAGAGTTCAGAAATAAAATAATTTTTTTTTATTTACCTTCGATTGCCTTGGTAATGCTATCTACAATATTTTTCGTTAAAAAAGAAGCAATTTCATTGCCTTTTATTTTATATGCTATTATAATATCATTTGCAGTCTCAAACTTATTATCAATATTACTATCTGTTACTTCTTGCAAAAGTTGAACGGGTTTGTCTAATTTTATTAGCGATTGATACGATTTTCCCAATCGTATCGCAAGCTTATAACATAAAAATATTCTAGAACCTGTATCAGTCCCATTACGAAGTGTTTTCATTAATTTTTCTAACACAGACATACATTCCATTTGATGCTGTCGAACAGAAGTACTTTTTACGTCGATTGTTTTACCGGATTCTATACCAATTGTATTTACTGAAAAAGGAAATACATTTACATTAATACGGTTCTCTTGATAACTTTTAACTTTTTTCTGAAAACATTTGTTACATCGCTAAATCGGACATATTACAATATTATAAAGAATAATATAATTACACGACGATGTCGATGATAGCCTTTGAAGTCCACGATTTTTTAGAATACTGTATTTTTGTGGTACAAATTTATCACCTTCGATCAGAAAATATTTTTGTTGCAATGTTAATTCTGTATATGATAATTCTCCCTCTGCCAAACTTAAACACAGCATTAACACTTGCAAATCCTGAATAAAAAACGAATTTACTGGTTATGCTTGTTTTAAAACATCAAAGAATAATACTTACTCTATGTTTATAATTAAATATTGTACTAATCCTCAAGGCAAGATCAAGTTTGCCTGCATCTATTAATTTATTAATTAAATATTCAGCAGCACTGTATTCATTAGCATCAGCCAAAGTGCATGTAACTTGTAACTTATTTAATCCCGACAATAATTCAGTTTTTAATTTTTGTAAAATTTCTTCCTCATATTCCAATAGGACATTATTAGGACCTATTAAAATACACGATTTCCACATAGCCATTTCTAAGGTATCAATAGTTTGTTGCTCTATTTGACTCTCTTTCAATGTTTCAAAAGCAAACTTTAATACTTCATACCTGTTCAAAGTTAGATATTAATATACGTATAGTA